TGAACTGGCCCCCTGTTTAAAAAGTGTGAGGACCCCTGCCTAAGATAGTCAGTATATGTGTTATTGCTGTTTTGTTTTGTTTTGTTTTGTTTTGTTTGAGTCAAAGTCTCACTCTGTTGCCCTGAGTAGAGTGCCATGGCGTCAACCTAGCTCACAGCAACCTCAAACTCCTGGGCTCAAGCAATCCTTCTGCCTCAGCCTCCTGAGTAGCTGGGACTACAAGGCGTAGAACACCATGCCCAACTAATTTTTCTATTTTTAGTAGAGATGAGGTCTCGCTCTTGCCCAGGCTGATCTTGAACTCCTGACCTCAAGCGATCCTCCTGCTGGGCCTCCCAGAGTGCTAGGACTATAGGCGTGAGCCACCGTGCCCGGCCCAGTGTATGTGTTAATCTCAAATAGTCTCAGGTCATGTTCTTCTCTCTCAACTGTAGCATTTTAGCTCTGAGTAGCAGTCCCCGGTTGTCACCAGGGAGGCAGGTAATTGGATGGGAGTGCGGAAGTGAGGGCAGCAGCCCATGGTGTCTCTGTCTTCTCTCCACGCAGGTGTCTGAGAGGGCTGAGGTGGGCAAGGCGCTGAGAGTCCACATCACCCTCACCAACACCTTAACAGTGTCTCTGAGTAACTGCATGATGGTGTTGGAGGGAAGTGGCCTGATTGATGGGCAGATAGTAAATAAGTAAGTGACACCACTCATCTACCTCGCTCATGCTGGTCTCTGATAAGGGCTGCCTCCTGGGGTCCTACAACTCTCCTCAGTCTCCTGAAAGGTGCCTCCTGGCCCCCTCTTTCCCACCCTCCTCAGCAAAGGTTGAGCTGGGGGAGTGCTGGGGAGTGGGAGGTACATACCCACCGAGAGGGGAAACAGAGCACCCACCTACGTGGTGACCCCTCAAGGCTCTGACAGTCTCTGTTTGCCTTTCAGCCTTGGGACTCTGATGGCTGATCACACCATCCAAATTCAAGTGGACCTCTACCCCATCAAAGCCGGACCCCGCCAGCTACAAGTCCTCATCAGCAGCAACGAGGTCAAGGAGATCAAGGGCTACAAAGACATCCTGGTCGCCCCAGCTAGAGCTTCCTGAGCCTGCTGCCCCTGGTGCCCTCCCCAGCACCCCTGGCCCTGCCATTCTCTTTCCTACTCCTGAATATGTTGCCTTTGCTCCACTTCTGTCCTCTCCCCAGACTGCCTGGGACTGAATGAAGCTCTCTTAGAACCACTGTGCGCTCTGGGAAGAGACAATAAAGACGTCTTTATTTATCACCCACGTTCTCGCTCCTGTGCCGACAAGCCACTTACTGCTATTGCCTGGTCCTCTTGGCCTAGCTGCCAGCTATGTGGCTGGGCCCCACCTGCTCTTCCCATCCTCTTCCTCCTCCTTTAAGGGCCTCAACCACAAAACAAGCCCACCACCATGGCCTCTAAAGCAGGCTCTCTGGACTGCAGGATCCCAGATCTCTCCATTTAAGTTGTCTTAGTGAGGCTCTAGGCCTGGGGAGGGCAGCCTGGATGTGCTGGGGGACAGCAACTGCAGTGCCATCGCCACCAACTGCCCAGAAGCTACCTGGCAGGACTTCTCTGCTGCCGCCTAGAGCATCCCAGGAGGGCTGGACAGCCACCTTTCCACGCGCATTCACTCAACAAACATTATCTGAGGGCCCACTCCTGGTGGGCCCAGGATGGCTGGAGCCACTCTCATATTTTTTTCCCCCTGTGGTTACCAAAATCATTCCTGCTCATTCTAGATGATTTGGAAAGAACCAAAAGGTGAAAAGAAACTAAAGAAAAATCACCAATAGCTCCCTCATCCCAGAGGAAATTTCTGCTAACATTTTGCAGTATATCCTTCTGGTCTTTTCCCCTCTTGTGTTTTCCTAAAGTCGACATTATAAATTGATCCATCTCCATCACAGATAATTTAGAAAAGCCAGAAACACAGAAAAGGAGAGCACTTCCCGTTGGTTTTCAGGCATGGGCCCTGTGCCCTCATCCACTCCTCAGGTGCTCCAGGCTCCTCTCCCCATCCCCCCTCTCCTCGCCCTCTCTCCTCCCCCCTCCCCCTCCTCTCTCTTCCTCTCTGTTGTGATATTTGCTTGCTTGGTCCTCCTCCTCCTTCCTTCTATTTTTCCCTCTTGGGGGGTCCTCCAGCCCTGCACCTCCCCTAGGCCTGCTTGCTCAGAGCTGCTTGGGGCAGGAAGGATAGGAGCCTGCACGCCCTCACCCCTCCCTGTATGTCAGCTACACCTGTCCCCATTAAGTGCCATTGGGCATTTCTGTGGCACCTTGCCACTGCCTTGTCACGCAGTGTTCTAGGCAGTTCCCACCCTCAGGAGAGGGGCACCTGCTCTGGCTCTTGCAGAAATGTGACACCTTGCTTGTCTGCGGAGTGCAGGTCCTCCTGTGTTGTCCCTGGTTGTGTCACTTGGTGGGGGGAACAGTGGCCAGCCTCAGCCATTGGGCTTCTGAGGGCCTCCCATGAGATGCAGATATTAGCCATTTCTGCCTTCCCAGTCCATCTTTCCAATTATTTTCCCTGTCCCCAGCTAAAAATTGGCTTTTAAAATTGTACTTGAGCTGTGTTTTCTCCTCCTCCTCCTCCTCCTCTCTCTCTCTCTCCTTCCCCTCACTTAGGCAAGCCTGTCCACTTCCTTTCCTTTCCCTGCCTTGAGTAGACAGGCTAGACCGTCTTATAGCTTTCTTCCAGTTCGACAGCCCCAGGGCCCAGAACTGCTATAGTGCACCCTGAGATTAGATCCTGAGCAACCTGCCCTTTGCTTCACGGGGCTCCCATAGATAAACTGTGGCAAAAGAAATGTTCATCTGTGGGACAGAGAGGCAGCTCAACCAGGCCAGCACCCCTGGCTCTTGGCTTCTGGTCTTCCCGGGTCTTCCTGAGCCCTGGTGGAATGCACAGAGACTGTCATCCTTAGGTTCTTTTTGTTGGTAGCTTTGGGGTTCATGACTCCTCACATCATTGTGTGACAGGAAGCAAAGAGCTCTCAGCTCCCTCAAGGTGTGACCCTGACTTCCCCAGGTGTAGAACGATCACCTAACAACAGCAATAGTGCCAGCCCTGCCCGCTGGCACAGGGCTGCCGTGAGGACCAGAGGAGGATGTGAATTCTAAGGTGCTTTGTAACATGCAGAGGTCCTCTGGTCAGTTTGATCGCTTCTCTGGAGTGACTGTCTCCATTTCTGGGGATGAGAAGAGGAGGGGAACAGAGGAATCCACTGGATCTGTCCACTGTGGCTTCCCTTTGAATCGTCTGTGGGGAAACTCCTCACTCTCCCCTCCGACCTGGGCTCCCAGGGCTTCAGGGGCCCTGATTGGACAGGTGAGAAAACTGTAACCTGCCCAAGGGCACACTGGGAATTCATGGCAGGGCCAGAATTATTAGCACCCAGGGCTCGCTGGGTCTTAGAAAGGTCTGGAAGTTTCCCACCCCCACTGCCCTTGCTAGAGCTGGCCTGCCCCAGGAGGATGGTTGGTATGTCCACATCTCTGCTCAGGGGTCCCTCCCCTGTGGGTCACACTCCTTCTCATCATCTTTGCTCAGGTTCCCGGTATCCCCCTGTCCCTGTCCCTGTCCCTGGACCGAGGGACAAGCTTCTCTGATCAGAGCTGCCCCCCTGCCCCAGCACACGGGCCCTCTGATAAATGGTTCATAGAATTCAATGAAAGGCTGAGCCTGTACGCCAGCTCATTAGGCGCAGAGCCCAGGTCTCGTTCAGCCCAGGGTCCAGGGAGAGGAGCAGCCAGGGCTCTCCTGGGCCCCTGAATGGGCTTCATGCCAGTGTGTTATTTCCATGCCTCTCCTGTCCAGGGGCTGCCTCGGACCACTTCTCTAAGTGCCTCCTGACCTTGCGAGGTCCTTTGGGGGAGGCCCAGGCCTCTGAGGTGGATGTGAATTCCTGCTTTCTGCTCAAGTTTGGGGGCAGGCAGAGCTGCCCAGTGTTTAGGCCACCCAGCCAGCACAATTCAATGAGCTTTACTCACAGTGGCTGCCCAATGGTTCTAAAATCTCAACTCATCCCAGCTGCTCCAGGCTGGCCCGAGTGGCGCCATGAAATAGGTCACTGGGCATCTTCCCCTTTGGCCACCACATCTGTCCAGACCCGCCCACCCTTGTTGTACTCACCTTCCTGTCTCCCTCACGATAAGCTCTTCTGTCCACGTCCCTTTCTTCTCCCCAGCTAACCCTTCTCAGCGAGTTCAGGCGTGGATCGTCTTTTACTTCATTCACTCCAACAGGTCACAAATAGGACCTGGAAGAAAACCACATTTCAGTTACTGCATCAGGCACTTATGGAGAACTTGGGCTGTGGAGTCTGACTACCTGCGATCAAAATCTGGCTCCACCAGTTCTTTGTGAGTGATCTTGGAAAAACTATTTAATGGTCTTTAAGCCTTGATTTCCTTATCTGTAATATAGGAACAGTAACAGTACATAACCATAGTGCTTTTGTAAGATTAAGTGGGGTAGTGCACATAAAGAATTTAAAACAGTATCTGGTATTAAAAGCTATTACCAGTTGTATTAGTAGTTTTATTACTATTAGCCACTGTCATTGTTAAACACTAGGAATGCTATTATTAAGACACAGCCCATGCCCTCAAGGGCGACTGGGGGAAAGATAGGTAAGTATTTATAATGTGAGGTATGAGTTGGCCAATAGGAAATGCAGAAGAGGAAGCCCCACATCAGACTTCCTGCAGAAGCGCAGCCCCCTCCATCTCCCTGGAGACCCTGTCAGCTCACCTTTCCCTCCTGGCTCCCCCATGACAGCACAGCACCTGCCAGGGAATGCCCTATTGCTCAAGAGCTACGCAAGGCCCACATGGCACAAGGCTGTGACAGTTCATCAGCCTCCACACCTCCTTTCAGCCAAGAAACCCTGCCAAGAAAAACCCAAGGGCAAATGAGAAAACCAGTTGTGATCTGCCCAGTAAGCAGGTGGCAGTGCACCACTCTGGCCCCGCCTACAGTGTCTCCTGGAGTCTGAGGATGGAAGTGGAAGCAGACACTCTGGCACCAGTTCCCTGAAGGTCCAGTCCATCCAGCTGTTCTGTGGGGAGCAGCCCAGGAACCAGAGGCAGCCACCATGGCCCAAGGTAGGGAAGGCCGGTGGGGTTGCTGAGTGCAGGGACAAGGAGGACAGGGAGAGACTGTAGGAAGTCAAGGGGAGGAGGGTGGATTCAGAGGTGGGAAGGAGTAAATACAGAACTGAGACAGGACCAGCAAGAACCCCGGAAACCTCAGAAGTCACTGGTGACCTGAGAACCAGGAGGCAGGGTGGAGGCTAGCAGGTAAACACGGGCAAACAGCCCTGTCATCTGTAGCCCAGTGGGATGGGGCAGGGCCAGGGACTGGGGATCAGGGTTCCTGTCCTCTGCCACTAGCTGACCCTTTGACATTGGGCAGGTCATTTCTCCTCTAGTGTCCAACCCCGTGCCTGAAAAATGAAGGGTTGGACCAGATAATGCTGAAATTGTCTTCCTGCTCTAAAGTTCTCTGGATTGTCGTATCTTCTCCTCTTCCCCCTTTCAGAGGGTCTGTTTTTATCTTAGCTAATCTTCCTTCTCTCTGTATCATCTCCCTCTCTCTGAAAAGAGCTGCTATGAAGATTAGATGGTTAGTTGAAACCATTTAGAGGAATGGGCTTTAAACTTGCTCTGCAAATGTAACAGCCTCACCTTCCCTTACTAATTTTTGTGGGGTTTTTTCGATTTTAAAATTTTTATAACTTTTAATTACACAAGAAATATATGATTACATAGTTGGAGTAAAACAAATCAACCATTACAGATAAAGCTATATAATTCCCTGACTTCCACCCCCAACTGCAGACTCATCTCTAGAGTAACCACTGTTACCTGCCTTTTGTGTATGCATTTACGTTCATATATTGTATGAATGAATATACTCAATGAAATATACAACATTAGTGCATGTGACTTTTTTGGTATATCCATGGTATCATCATATTGCATATATTTTTCTACAACTTAATTTTTTCACTCAACAGTATGTTTTGGAGCCCTATCCATGCCAGTCAGTACCTAAAGCTCTATCTCAATATTTTCCATAGTTTGGGTGTACATAGTTTATTTATCCAGTCCCCTGTTGCTGGTCATTGAAGTTGTTTCCAATTTTCCAGTTATGTAAGCAATATTGCAATGAACATTCTTATCCGTGCATCTTTGTGCTCATGCGGGAGTGTCTCTCTAGGACAACTACTAAGATCACTTACTTTAAAAGTTCTTCCTACAGTCTCCTTTCTATTTTCCTGATCATTTTACCCCATTCTCCTCTCACCTCAAGGAGAGTAAATATGCCCAGTACTAATGAACCTCCTATGTTCATAGCTGGCATCTGGTCTGAGGGATCTTCCCTGTCATAGGCAGAGATTAACATGCCCACGGTGTCTCCAGAGGACTCCGCCGCTGTGCTTGCTGTCAGGCAGATGCTGCCACACCTGTTGGGTAGTCTGGGTCATGTGCCCAACCTGAACTGGAGCCAGTTAGTCAGTTGGTCTCCCAAAGGAGTGAGCCTCTTTTTCCACTGTTAGGAAAAAACTGAGTGCTTTCCCAACGGGCAGTGGATCAGGATGTTCCTTCTGAGCACAAGTGAAAGCCAGCAGTGGGTGGCAGCGGTTGGGTGCTGGGAAGAGCCCTGGACTTGGGTCAGGAATCCTGGTTTAACCTTGAGCAAGGCATCTAATCTACCTGAACTCCAGTTTTCTCATCCCCGTATGTAGACGACAAGATGTTTTGTCCCTCCAAGGTTATGGTGAGGATTAAATGAGATAACTGTCTCGGAGTGCTTAGCACAGTGCCTGGCAATAATAGACAGGCCCTCGATAGAGTGTTGATGGACTCTGAAATCTGAAATAAGTACAGGGTGATTTTGCAAAAGATAGAAAACTCTATTCAACCTGGCAAGCCTTTCTGAGTACCTACAATGTGCTGATCTTTATGTTTTAGTTTCTTTTGTAATAATAATAATAATAATCTACATTATGAAAAAGATGTGTGTGAGTCAGGTGTTGTGTAAATATGTTTTAATTTCTCTTGAGTATTGTTAAGTCATATGGTAACAGTAATCAAAAGAACTTAAAGATGTTTAAGAAGACAAAGTTTGATATTTATTAGGGTATTTTGGTACGGTTGATTTGGTTCATACTTATTTATAACAGCTTTATTAAGATACAATTCATACACCATAAAGTCCACCCATTTAAAGTCCACAACTCAGTGGTTTTTAATATATTCACAAAGTTTTGCAAACATCACCACTATCTAGTTCCAGAACATTTTCATCACCTCAAAAAGAATGAGCAATTATACCCCATTCCACCAGTCTCCAGCCCCTGGCAAACCCTAATCTACTTTCTATCTCTGTGGATTTGCCTATTCTGGACATTTCATATAAAGATAATTATACAATATGTGCCCTTTCATATCTGACTTCTTTCACTTAGCATAATGTTTTCAAGGTTCAACCATGTTATGCATGTTCAGCATTGCTTTTTACAGCCAAACAATACTCTATTATATGGATATACCCCATTTTGTTATCCATTCATCAGTTGATGGACATTTATGTTGTTTCCACTCTTTGGCTATTAGGAATAATGTTGCTATGAACATTCAGGTTTTGTGTAAAATATGTTTTCATTTATTTTGGGTATATACCTAGGGATGGAATTGTTAGGTTATATGGTAACTCTATGTTTAACATTTTGAGGAACTGTTTTCCAGAGTGCTGTACCATTGCACAATCCCACCAGCAATATATGAAGGTTTCACTTTCTCCATATCCTCACTGACACTGCTTATTGTCTACCTTTCTTATTATTGTCATCTTATCATTGTGCATGTGAAGTGATACCTCATTTGCATTTCTCTAATGACCAATGATGTTGAACATCTCTTCATGTGTTTATTGACATATCTTCTCTAGATAAATGTCTATGCAGATCAGTTGCCCATTTTTTATTTGAATTATTTGTCTTTTTTATCATAGAGTTGAATAAGTTTTTTAAAAAATATTCTACATACAAGTCCCTTATTAGATACATGCTTTACAATATTTTCTCATATTCTGTGGGCTATCTTTTCACTTTCTTGATGGTGTTCTTGAAGCAAAAGTTATTAATTTTGATGAAGTTCAATTTATCTGTTTTCTTCCTTTCACTGCTTGTGCTTCTGCTGTCATATCTAAAAAAAAAAAAAAATCATTGCCTAGAGCAAGATCATGAATATTTACCCGTGTGTTTTATTCTACGAGTTTTGTAGTCTTGGTTCTTGTGTTTAGGTTTTTGATCCATTTTGAATTCATCTTTATATATGGTATGAAGTAGGCATCCAACTTCATTCTTTTGCATGTGGATATTCACTAGACCTAGCACCATTTTTTGAAAAGAGCATTCTTTCCCCACCGAATTATCTTGGCATCCTTGTCAAAGATCAATTGAAATGTGAGAGACTCTCATTTCTATTCCACTGATCAATATGTCTATCCATATGCCACTACCACATTGCCTTGATTACTCTAGCTTGTGCAGTAAATTTTAAAATAGGGAAGTGTGAATCTTTTAACTTTGTTTTTCTTTGTCAAGATTGTTTTGGGTGTTATGGATCCCTTATATTCCCATATGAATTTTAGGATCCAGTTGTCAATTTCTGCAAAGTGGCAGTTAGGATTTTGATAGGGATTGTGTTGAATCTGTAGATTAATTTGTCATATTAATGATACTGTCTTCCAATCCATGCATATGGAATGTCTTTTCATTTGTTTAGGTATTCTTTAAATTTTTTCAATGATGTTTTGCATTTTTTTTCTTTTTTGTGGTCCAGTTTTACGTTTCTTTTGTGAAATCTGTTACTAAGTATTTCATTCTTTTTGATGCTATTATAAAATGGAATTTTTTCTTAATTTTATTTTCAGATTATTCATTTCAAGTGTATAGAAATATAACTGACTTTTGCATATTGATATTGTATCCTGCAACCTTGCTGAATCTGTTTATTAATTCTAATTTTTTGGTGGATCCCGTAGGATTTTCTCTATACAAGATCATAGAGATAATTTTACTTTTTCTTTGATCTGGAGGTCTTTGATTTGATTTCCTTTTTGGTGCCTAATAGCCCTGGCTGGAACCTTGAGTACCATGTTGAGTAGATGTGGCCAGAGCAGACATCCTTGTCTTGTTCTTTGTCAGGAAAGCATTCAGTCTATCACTATTAAATATTGTGCTTGTTGTGAGTTTTTTCATAGATATACTCTATCAGGTTGCAGAAGTTCCCTTCTACTCTTAATTTGTCAAGTATTTTTTTACCATGAGAGGGTGTTGGATTTTGTCAAATGCTTTGGTTCATTTTTTAAAAATCTAAATACAGCCAAGACAAAGCTAATTCTGTGTACTTATTGGCTTACATCTAGTGGTAAAAGGCAGACAAATTTAAGAGCAACTAAGAAAAACATTTGACTACTTCATGCTGAGCCTAAACTTAGTAGAAGTTTGTTGATAGAAATGAACAAATGAGCATGACATGTAAATTAACTTGTCAATTAAGCAGTTAAGATTGTCCATGAGAGATTCAGTTAAGTGCTGCAGATTAGTGGGCAATGGGAAGAAGGGTGGGCCAATTGGGGCAGGCTTCATGAAGGAGGACAGGTAGGGTTTGGTTAGATAGTGAGGGGCCATTCTGAGTTGAGGCTACAGCAATAACGAAATACACAGACAGGTAAGGGTACCATTTGCTTAGGGACACATTGCCTACAGGAGAGGGCCCATGCTGGGAGTGGTGACAAGTGAGAATGCAAGAATAAGTTAAGGCCTGGTATGGAGAGCCATAAGTGTCAGGGTAAGGAATGTGCCTTTTATATGGTGACTGTAAGATATCTCAGAAATTTTGAAGCAGAAGGATAGCACGATCAAATTTTCTTGAGGAAAGTAATCTGATGATGCATTAAGGGTGGGTGGTGGGGGGGAGGAGACCTCAAGGGGACTATTACAGTCACTAGGTGTGAGGTGAGAAGGTTGGAATCATGTGAATGTGGAAAGAGACAGATGGACACCAGAGATGTTTTAATGGAAGGAGTGAAGGGACTTGGTGACACACAAATGGATGCAGGCTAAGGAGTTGGGTGAGCCAATTGTGATTCAAGAACTGTGAGCCCACTAGGTGACTGGGGGACCAGGGCAGGACCATGTCAAACACTGAGGAGTCAGAACTGGAGCCCTTCTTGGAGAGGCACACTTGTAGAACAGTGAGGTCAGTCTGTGTCTTAGCAGAAGCTCCAGAAGGCTGGGAATGGAACTTCCTTTGACTGTCATCAGCCTCCAAGCTCCCAGGGCATTGGGCATGTGGCATTAGTGGTGGACAGAGAGCCAGCAAATTGCTAAAGGAAAAGCAGCTAACTCAGGGGCAGCTAACCCTGGGACAGCTAACCCTGGAACAGCTAACCCAGGGATTTGCACCCAGGTTTGGAGGCTGGTTCAGGGGCAAGTCAGACTATTAACTTGAGTCCTAGAAAGTGGATACTGGGGTGAATCTGAGATATGCTAGGCTGAAGGGGGCAATCATACTTGACCAGGTCTACAAAAGGAGTTGGACAGAGGCAGAAAACCATGTATCCAAGGAGGGTATAAAGAGAAGGAGACAGTGTCAGAGATGTAGGGAAGGAGGAAGGAAGGAAGGAAGGAAGGAAGGAAGGAAGGAGGAGAGGAAGGGAGAGGAGGGAGGAGGGAGGAGGGAGGAGGGAGGGAGGGAGGGAGGGAGGGAGGGGAACTTGCCTACATGGAGCCTTGTTTAATCCTTATACTAATCCTGTCAGGCTGGCATTATGGATTCTATTTTACTGATGTAGAAACTGAGGCTCAGAGATTAAGTTACTTTTTCAAGTTTGCACTACTAATAAGTGGTAGACAGGATTGGACCAGCCTCCAGACCCTGAGTCTGTCTCTGGCTGCCTCCCTGCAGGGCTAGAGGTGGTCCTCACAGACTTCCAGAGCTCCAGGAACAACCTGCGGCACCACACGCAGGAGATCAGCGTTGACCGCCTTGTTGTTCGCCGGGGCCAGGCCTTCAGGATCACCCTGTACTTCCGTAACCGGGGCTTCCAGCCAGGCCTGGACAACATCATCTTCATGACTGAGACTGGTGAGGACCCCAGCTGGCTCACAGGGGCTGTGTGTGTGTGTGTGTGTGTGCTGAGGGGACTTTGGGAGGGCGGGAGCTCACCACAGAGGGTCTCCACTCTACTTCCTTCCCAGGACCCCTGCCAGACCAGACCAAGGGGACTCAGGCCATGTTCAGCCTGACAGGCCGTGGTGGCCCCAGCTCCTGGATCGCCTCTCTAGAGACCAACGGGCCCACCTCCCTGGAGGTGAGCCTGTGTGCTTCTCCCACGGCGGCTGTGGGTCGGTACCTCCTGAAAATTCACATTGACCCCTTCCAGGGGTCTGTCACAGCCTACCAGCTCGGGGAGTTCATCCTGCTCTTCAATCCCTGGTGCCCAGGTAAGGCAGGGTGCTCATGAGAGGTCCCTCATCTCTATCAGTGCCAGAGAAACAGTCTCGATGATTTCTAGACCCTACTCCCTGTCCGCCACAACCCAAGCCCATGCACTCAGCATCCAGCCCCAACTACCCACAACCAGGGCAGGGAGACCTTGCTATTTATTTAGCTATTTAGAATTTCCAACTTTTGAACCAAATCATCTTTACTTAAATAAGAAACTATTACAATCAAGTTTATCCACTGTTAACATCTACCTTTTTTTTTTTTGAGACAGCGTCTCACTTTGTTGCCCAGGCTAGAGTGAGTGCCATGGCATCAGCCTAGCTCACAGCAACCTCAAACTCCTGGGCTCAAGCAATCCTCCTGCCTCAGCCTCCCGAGTAGCTGGGACTACAGGCATGCGCCACCATGCCCGGCCAATTTTTTGTATATATATTTTTAGTTGGTCAATTAATTTCTTTCTATTTTTGGTAGAGACGAGGTCTCGCTCAGGCTGGTTTCGAACTCCTGACCTTGAGCAATCCGCCCGCCTCAGCCTCCCAGAGTGCTAGGATTACAGGCGTGAGCCACCACGTCTGGCCAACATCTACCTTTATCATGCATTTTTAAGTTAACTTGAATTTTTCATTATAAAAGTAAAAAATGCACTACATCAACTATTTGGGGAATAAAGTAAAGGGTAAAATCAAAAAAGAAAAAGAAATGAAATGAGAGGTATAAGGCAAAAAGTAAAACCTCCCAATATCCAAGTTCCATTCTCTAGTGAACAAGAAATGTTAACATTTTCTCGTGAAGCCTTATCAAAGTGTTCTATGCTTAATCAAATATGTGTGCATGTGTGTGTATATGTGTGATTGTACAATGCATACCACAAATAGGATTATGTAATACATACTATTCTCCAACTTGCCTTTTCCATTAAAACAATTCACTTTGGACATGTTTTCCTATCGGAACATTCTTCTTAATGGTTACAATTATTCTACTGTTTGGATACACCAAATGTTTTTAACTAGTCCCCTATTTTTGGCTATCTTCATTTTTTTTCTTCTATAAACAAAGCCACAGTGAATATCCCACACTACCTGTCCCACCCTGTCCTCTAAATCTACTGGGGGGTGTGGGTAGATACATAGACAGACATAAGGACACGGTGTGGACAGAATGGAGCACAAACCAGAAGAGAGTCGGAAGGACAGAAGGAGTCAGGGATAGAGAATGGGTCTGGTGTGCTTTTCCCCAGAGGCCAGACTCAACCCACTTTTGCTCCTGACTTAGGGGATGATCTCCTTCCTGTCCCCACCTCCTTCTAAGTTCTCTCCCATTCTACCCCTCTCCCTAGAAGGGGGCCTGCTGGGTTGCATCAGGACCCAGAACTCTGGCTGGGTTCGAACACCTCTAACCACCTCCTACCTCCTTGTCCCTAAGTGGCTCAGAATTCTCAGTCACCAGCCAGGAGAAAAGGCCCAGCCACTGGATCAAGACAGGCCAGTTGTCTGTCTTCTCTCTGTCTCTGCTTTTCTCTCTCTCTTACTTATATACACATACTCCCCTCCTGGCCTCCAAGACCGTGGGTTTCAAATTGTAGTGAGGGCCTTCTGAGATGTGGGGAGGAAAGAGTTAACTGCAGGGCCTTCTCTCCTGGGCTTGTGCCAAACCCAGTCCTAGGGAGACCCAGTGCTGGGGCTGGGGATTGGTATGAAGGCAGGATCAGCTGCCCCATCACCGTGCCCAGTGGCACTGTGGGAGGGGGAGGATACTGGCTGGGAAGCCCACCCTGTAGCTCAGGCCACTGCTGGCCCTGGCTGTGAGGAGGATGTGTGTGGGCTCCACCCTGACCCTGCAGCTTCTCACCACTCTGGTCCAAACCCTCAATAAAACACATCTCAGCAAGGAGTCCTCCTCCTGCACCGTTGTCCTGTCAGGCTGTGTCTGAGGCTGCCTCTGAGGAGGTGAGGGAGGCCCCTCTCCCTCAGGGTCAGGCAGAGCTTCTAGACAGTTCCAGGACACTGCAAAGAGAACATCTGCCCCATGGCCTTTTGTTTGTGTGTTCTTAAATAGCTAATTTTTTATATCATAAAAACAGCATGTTCCTTTCAGAAAATCTAGAGAATACCAATAGGTGAAAAGGAAAAAAAAAATTACAATTAATGTCTTGGGATAAGTTTCAAAATTGTCTATTCATATACATATATATATATTTTTGTTTGTTTGTTTGTTTGTTTGTTTGTTTTGAGACAGAGTCTCGCTTTGTTGCCCAGGCTAGAGTGAGTGCCGTGGCGTCAGCCTAGCTCACAGCAACCTCAAACTCCTGGGCTCAAGCAATCCTCCTGCCTCAGCCTCCCGAGTAGCTGGGACTACAGGCATGCGCCACCATGCCCGGCCAATTTTTTGTATATATATTTTTAGTTGGTCAATTAATTTCTTTCTATTTTTGGTAGAGACGAGGTCTCGCTCAGGCTGGTTTCGAACTCCTGACCTTGAGCAATCCGCCCACCTCAGCCTCCCAGAGTGCTAGGATTACAGGCATGAGCCACCGCGCCCGGCCAATATACATATATATTTTTAACAAAGGTATTTCATGGTGTACACATTGTTTTGTAACCTATTTAAACTTCATATGTCACATGTGATTTCCATATCCATATATACAATTATGCCACCTTATATTAATACTATGCAGAATTCTGTATTATCAACAGCACTCAATGAACAGTTTAGTATCTACATCTTTGTGCATATCCTAATTACTTTCCTCAGATTAAATTTCTACAAAAGGAACACTGAGGTCAATGCCAAATCTTAAGTTCTTGTTTGCTCTTTTCCGACCAAGATTAGTACAGCAGAAAGAGCACAGAATAGGAAATTGTATGGGCTGTGCTCAAATTCCAACTCTGTTACTTAGGTGTGATTTGGGGAGTTAATCACTCTGAGCCTGTTTTCTCAGCCTTAACATGGGGCCAGGCTGTAAATCTGATAGGAAACCAAGAAATTCCACCAAAGGTACCTTTTTGTTATTCCACCTTATGTTCATATTGAACCTGTTGCTGGTGTTGGGGGTGTGGAATCCCCAAGGCCCACCCCGTCGTCCCCCTCTGGTGTCCCCAGGTGCCCTCTCCACAGCCCAGTTTCCATGGGACTGCCGGGATGGGAATGGGCAGGAGGGGCAAGATGACTTTTCTGCTGTGCGCCCTCCCACTTGATTCCTAGAGGACGCTGTCTACTTGGACAGTGAGCCCCAGCGGCAAGAGTATGTCATGAATGATTACGGCTTCATCTACCAAGGGAACAAGAACTGGATCCGCCCGTGCCCCTGGAACTACGGACAGGTGAGTCTCAGCCCCCTCGTGGCCACCCAGGCCCTGGACTGGTGGGGAGAGGGGAGTGGAATGCCTGCAAGATTCACCAGAACTGCGGACCAGCGCTAGCTAAGGGCTGCAGGGAGACATGTGATGTGAGCCCAGGTTGCTACAGGAGCAGCCTAGGAAGTGGGAAGGTGTGTCCTCTGCCAGTCATGTCTGATTTGAACAGGAGGATCTAAGGGGAGGGCAGCTAAAAGCACCCCGCCCAGCAGCTGTGGTGCCTGGTAGTTTTGTTTGTTTCTGGCGGGTCCCATTTTCCAGTCTCTCACTTCATCCTCACAACCCCTGGCAATGGGCCACAGCATCAGTTCGGTCACAATGAGGACAACCTGCCCCATGAACATCTCAGCCACAAGTGGGGCTGATGGGCAGCCATGTGTCTTCCTTGCCATAACTGCTGCCTTTGTATGCATTTGTTTGTTTCATGGTATATCTTTTTCATTATGAAAGTTCTTGCTTTTAAAACTTTGCAAAGAAATATCACAAAAATGGATACATGAAGGTGATCCTAAGCACTGTCACCAGCTTGGTGTAGGTTCCTCTGCATTTTGCTTTCTACATGTGTTCTAAAACATCATTTTATATGTAAAAATAGTGTCATATTAGCTGCAATGCTTGGCAGCTCCAGCCTTTCTAAAAGCTGGCCTCTCATTTAAAGTTCAGCCTGCAGCAGGTGCTCCAAGAAGCTCGGTGCCAGGCCAGGGAAGGGGGTTCTGTGGGCTGTGCCCCGGCGCCAGGAGCACTGTGAGAGGGAGAAGATCAGCCCTTGGCCACTCGGAAGAGTTGTCAGCTGGAAAACCCTGGGGGTCCCCCACGGAGCCTTATATCAGCTTGATGTGGTTCCTCTCCTGGACTTGCCCAAATAGAACTCCAACATCTGTGGCCTGCAGGCCCAGCCTGGGCTCAGGGTCGCTGTAGCCAAGATGAGGCATAGCAGCCTCAACTGGCCCCAACTCACATCCCCGCCCCCTCACTCAGCATGGACAGGTTAGAGGTCCCAGAGAGCTCTTGGACGGGAGTTTGCTGTCATCTATGAGAAACAGAGTGAAGAGTTGCTGTTTTCTGAGCCCTGGGTCCCTCTGCTTCCATCTCTCTTCCTCATTAAAGGCCTATCGTATGCTGCTCGGTGCCAGGCAAGGTGCTAAGTGCTCGAGATAGGAAAATGAATAAAACACTGTCCCTGATCCCACAGTGTAGTGGGGACGCAGACACACAAACAGATCGCTTACCATGCAGTAGGGTATGTAGAGACTGAGAGACGGGTGCAGAGTGTTCTGGGAGCAGGAGGAAGAGCTCCCGGTTGGACCTGGGAGTATCAGAGAGGCTTCCTCGGAGGGGAGATACTTGAACTGAGTTAGCCAAGTGAAGGGAAGTAGGGAAAACATACCAGACAGAGGGAAGACATGACCAAAGACACAAAGGGGAGAAATGGGTTGGCCTGCTGCAGGAGTCATAAGGAATTTGGTGTTGCTGGAGAAAAAATGATGGTGGTTGGGGGGGATTATCGAGAGATGAGGCTGGAGAGATGGGGATCCAGATCTGAGAGGGAGGATGGATCTTTAATTTTCTACGCCACAGGGAAATTTGAACATTTTAAAGCAAGAAAGCGAAATGGTCAGACTGTCCCCAGGGGAGGATGGGTCAGAGAAGCCTCCTAATTCTGCTTACTGCGCAGCGTTTCAGGGGAATAAATGCAGTCATTTACACTCGTTCAATACAAATGTATGGGGTCCCTGCTGTGCGCTGGGTGTGGTGCCAGGTCTGGGGTTTAGCCTTGTGAAGACTGCTGGATTGAGATAGAACGTCACTCAGGCAGGAAAGATGGACCTTGACCACAGCACATAACTGAGTCTAACGAGTAGAGGGGACGTACTCAGGGCTATGGAGCTAAACCAGGCTCAGGGCTGCAGAAGGCCTCAGAGGGCATGGCAGTCACACCCCCTCGGAAGGACCAGGAGGAGCCCGCCTGCCTCGGGTGGGAAGTTTAACGTGCCATTAGTCAGTCTAGAGCCCCGATGAATTGCAGGTGCCATGCAGGTTGGTGCCATCACCTCAGCAGTAGCTGCCAATGACAGGGTAGGTCAGCAGGTGAGTGAAGCAATGTGGTTCTAGTGAGAACATTCCAGGGGCTCCAGGAGTGTGGAGATTGAGGGCAGAAAGGGAGAAACAGCCTTTTCAGCCAGTCAAACTCACTGGAAGCAAGACAAAACCCGGCAGTAGCAACAGTCATGCCAAAATGAAGGGGGAGGGATTTGAAGGGCAGGGCACACACACCAGGTGAGTTGCGACCCCAGAGCTTTAAGCCTCCACCCCTGAATGGGAGGCAGGCCACGGCTGTTGTATTTGACAGTTGCCTTCCAAATGGGTTTGTGTTCCACAAATACACTCCCTCAGAGAGCTGGGTGGGGTGGGTCGTGTATATTTTGGGCACTCCCACGTGCCAAGCTTCCCCAGTCTGCATCTCCCCCTGCAGTTTGAAGACAACATCATAGACATCTGCCTGACGCTGCTGGACAAGAGCCTGCACTTCCAGATTGACCCGGCCACAGACTGCGCCCTGCGGGGAAGCCCCGTCTACGTCAGCAGAGTGGTGTGCGCCATGGTGAGGTCCCTGGGGTGCCCAGGGAGGGAGGAAGCTGTGTGGGGAGCCCTGCCCACCCACAGTCACCTGCTGCAATGGGGGAAGGAGGAGGTGAGAGAGGGGAGCCCGTGGCAAAGCCATTTTGGATGAGACTGATGCCAGAATGTAAGTAACAAGTTCTCTCAATTGAGCTCTGAAATCACTGAGTTCTGGCTACCACCTCTGTTAATTCCAAACTGCATGTTTTGGGAAAGGCTGAGTGTAGTTCCAGTTTGGGAAATGGTCTTTTTCTAAATATCCTTTGTTCTGAGTATTTTTTAAAGCTCTCAGAGCCAGGATCCAGCTTTGCAGGGGATGGGAGGATATGGGGTAAGGGGAAACAAGTCAGAATAGCTGGCCCCCACCTCCAGCCCTTCCCTAGCAGGTCTGGAAGTCCCCAGTAAAATGAGGTCAAAGGTCTCCTCTGTGCATCAGGCCATGAGCCTTCCAAGGCAGTCCCCACATCACATCTTACTGAAGAAATGGATGTTTCTAACACTTCCCCACATGGGTGCTCTTCAGATCAACAGCAATGATGACAGCGGGGTGCTCAATGGAAACTGGAGTGAGAGTTACATGGACGGCATCAACCCTGCGGAGTGGACGGGCAGCGTGGCCATCCTGAAGCAGTGGCATGCCACTGGCTGCCAGCCCGTGCGCTACGGGCAGTGCTGGGTCTTTGCCGCCGTCATGTGCACAGGTAGGAGGTGGAAAGGGCCCCAAGGAAAGACCAACAGTGTAGCAGCGCATGTAAAAGCCCTCTGGACTTTTCCTGTCCCAGTCTCACACAGTGCCCACCCAGGCACATTTGGAAGGAGGCCCTTTCCCTCCAAAATGCCTCATCACAGACCTCAGGCTTCACTCATTTGGGCTTATTTCAGACCATGATTCTGAAGTGATAATCACATTTCCCAGGACACCTGGTGCCCTTCTGAGCTTGGACAACCTAACATTCCTAAGAGCCTCGCTGGGAATTGTCCATGTCCAAGATAGACATGAGACCAGAGGCTGAGTAATTGGAAAACTTGCGAACTGACTAGTACCCTTTCTGAGTACAGGCTTCATGAAGATATGCACGTGGAAGGGAAATGTGCGTCTGGGCTGTGGTACGGGCCATGGGGCCAGAGCAAGATGGCAGTCAAGTAAAATGACCTTGAACTTGGAGTTGTCACAAGGTCAGAGGACCCGGCCACCTGACTCAGGCCAGGGAATTAGGCATGCCCCTGGTCCTCACCCTCACCTGCCCCCATGCCCAGCCTGGCTCTCAGTCTCTTTCTTGGCATGCATGTCCTGACTACAGTCACAATCAGGAAGTTATTAATCGTGTCAGCTGCAAATGAGGCCAAGTAAGGCCTTCGCTCACATGACTCTGTAGTTGAATCCAAGGAGGCCAGATCTGCCCATAACTTGGTGTTTATTGAGGGCTCAGGCCTTCTGCATAGCAATTCCCTGTTTGACAAAGCTTGATGCAGTCTGTGTGCTGGGCCCCTCTCTGGGTTCTTGCAAGAATATGACAGCCCTGGAGGAAGCTCGGAGAGCCCCAGGCTGCTGAATAGACGGTGTCAGCCCTCAGTCCAAGCGCACAAGGAGGCTTCCGTCGACCACACTGGTTGATGATGACGAGGAGTAAGTCCAGAGCTTACTCCACTGCACTGCAGGGCCCAATCATGCGTTGGATGCTTTGAATGCCCAGTGATAAGAAATAGGGAAATCAGCAGCTTTGAAACCCAGAGTCATAGAGATCTGGGTGAGGTGGGAGGTCTGAGTCATTCTGGAAGCAGGCACAAGACTGCAGGCAGAGAATGGATCTTGTAACAAGATAGGGAATTTTCCAGTGTGTGGAAAAGCCTAGTGTCTAATGGGCCTGGCGTGTGTGCAGAGGGAGTGAGCGGGTTTGGGTGTGGGTGTCTGGAACTGGGCGATGAGAGAAGTGGAGTCAGTGAATGGAGATTACGCGAGAGCAGACCAATTAAAATGTTTATGAGAATCATGTCCCTTTGGTGACCTGGAAAACAAAGGGAGGGGCAGAGTGTGTCAAACGTGGCCCTGTCCAACTCCAGCTCAGTCAGCACCAGCCTTCCCTCAAAGGGCCACCCTGTCATATATTAATAAATATAGCAGCTTGAAAAGCTCGTTCATTCCTCCAACAATCCTTACTGAGTCCTTATTCTGTGCCAGGCACTGTGTTCCAAGTACTCTTCGATACAGAGATGGGTAAGACCCAGCTGCTATCCTCCACCAAAGTTGAAGTTCAGGATTTAGTCAAACTCCCTAACTCAATATAGCTGCCAAAGCATGTTTTTTAAACAAATATTATTATTATTTCACAGCCAAAATAGCTAACGTTTATTGGGGACTATGCTAAAAACCTTGACAGCCTAGAGTAGTGGCGAAGCCTGTGGCCTCTGGGGTCAGACTGGTTGGGGTTAAATATAAGCACTACCATCAGCTAGTGGAGTAACCTTGGGCAGGTCACTTAACTTGAGCCTCAGTTTCCTCATACGTATGATGGGGAAAGTAATGAGGCCTACCTCATAAGGTTATTAAAAAGATTGAGTGAGTTCATACATGGAGAGTGCTTGAACTAGTGCCTGGCTATAGTGAGTATTCAGCAAGTATCAGGTAGGGTTGTCTAGTTTGAGCCCCTAACTGACCTTAGGAGGGAGGGTCTATCATTATCTCCATTTTACAGATGAGGAAATCGAGTGGCAGAGCCAGTCTCACTCTCAATTCTGGCTAACTCTGCAGGCTATGCTCTAACCACTATGCCATACCACCTCATGAACATTGCTAGCAGATGCCATTTATCCAGCACCCACTAAGCGCTTCAGGAATGCACTGGGCACTTTCACCATTTCTAATCCTCACAACCACCTGCACAGTAGATGTCATTACAGCCATTCTACAGATGAGAAAACTGAGGTTTAAAGTGACCAAGTGACTCTTGTCTGACTTAGAAGTGCATTCTCCTTTCTGCAGCCCTGCCTCCCAGTGTTGCCTTTTAAAATGTCAATATATTAACTTAAACTTTCCATAGGAAAATCATCAAAGATGTGTGCAGCAAAGATACAATTATAATTTTTTGCATAGGCTATTTTCTTGGCATTCATTTAGTTGGTGGTTACTTGGAAATTTCAGAGAAATCCCTGGCACTCAGGGCCAGCTACCCCAAAGCTCCAGGTCATTGGGCTCTTCCTGCTCTGGCTGTCTACTCCTTGACAAAGTTGGGACCCTCAGCCCAACTTGGCTGAGGTCTGGGAAGTAGCCAGGATGCTTTGCACTATAGCAGGGGAACAGAGGGGACAGTGATGTTCTTTTGCCTGAAAATTCCCCCCAAAAGGCCAGGTGTGAAAAAAGCCACATAGTGTGTGATTTCACACATATGAAATGCCCAGAACAGGCAAATTCACAGAGACAGAAAGTTATAGTGGTTGCTCAGGACTGGAGGGAGAGGATAAATGAGGAGTGACTGCTAATGAATATAAGGTTTCTTTTTGAGGTGGTGAAAACGTTCTGGAATTAGATAGTGGGAATTGTTATACAACCAGTGAATACATGACAAACCACTGAACTGTACACTTCACAAGGGTGAATTTTACAGCATGTGAATTATATCTCTCAAGAAAGTTGTTTAAGAAAAACCCAGCCATCCTGGGACCATGCCTGGTCTGTTCTTGCTCGTACCTGCATGGGGTTGGAGGTTGAGATGGGGACAGCAATGACTTGGGCCGAGGGGGTTGGAAGACACTAATGTGTGACTATGAGCAGGTCTTTTGGCATCATCCCCTCCTCTGTAAAACAGGGTCCTAAGTCCCAGGAGCAGCTGTGGGAAGGTGAGATGGAAAACAGCGTGGGGAGCTGAAGGGCTGCATGGTTGGGACTGGGCCCCCTCTTCAACCAAAGCAATCCCACTTGTGTGCCTTTTATACATTGAATCCCCACTTATGATTGACTTGCATATAGGGTCCTCTGCTTACAACTTCTTTGAAAATTTCTGAGATAGATTTTTATTAAGATTTCTTTTCTATTCTTTTTCTGGCTAACTTTTAAAGTTTTTGTAGAGATAGAGTCTCACTATGTTGCTCAGGCTGGTCTCAAACTCCTGGCCTCAAGTGATCTTCCCACCTTGGCCTCTCTAAGTGCTGGGATTATAGGCATGAGCCACCACACCTGGCCTAAGAATTTTTTTCATAACTCAGTTGTGTAGTGGCCTCTATAAAGTAGCTCAACTTCATTTCAATACGCTAACTCTTGTTTTCATTGTTTTCACTGAGCCTTTAGTCTCAAAGAAGAAACTCAGCCAAGACCATGGTGTGGTATTTTGCCCCAACCTTTCTTTAGATCCCAGTCTGAACTCTCTTTTGAGCAATGCCCTGGCTTAAATACAAATCTACCATTATTTTCCATTGATTTATGAGATATCAAGATTGCATGGAATGTTCCCTCATAGGGCTGTTGATTAATACATGACAAGTATTTACAAAGATGTCTGGCACACAGTTACTTTTACCTAAATGTTAGCTATTGTAATTAGTCTGATACTGTTTTCCTTTCCTCCTCTTGGGCTCCAGAGGTTTGGCTGGGTCTCGTTTAAAAGTTGTTCCTAGCTATTCCCCAAACTTCAGTTCCCCATCTGGTCTACCACTTTTTTCCTTCTATTTTCTTTCTTTCTTCCTTGGAATGGTTTAGGGTTAAATTAATCATATTCCTCATTTCATGGCACTTATCATAATTGATCTGTGTCAGGCTCCTCTTTTAAAAAAATTAATTAACTTATCAATTTCTCCCTTTATCTGACCTAGAATTTCATCTTCATGCCTGTGCAGATACGTCACTCAGTCAAAACTTGGAGGGACCTCTCTGCGGATCTCTGAAATACTCTGCTCAGCTTTCTCCCCTCCATACAACTCTACCCTGCAAATTGTAGGCACTTTAGCTTCCCTGAATTATGATTTCATCTCCTCAACCTCCTCAATAAGACTGCTCAGCTCTGCTTGGGGTTCTCTTTCCCGTGCTGTGGCCTGGGAGCTGCCTCTAGGAAGTGCCTCAGTTGGAATCTGTCCAATATTTTTCTTGTGATTGGACTAGAATGATGTGTTTTGGAGAGGAAGACCACAAAGGTGGAGTGCCATTCTCATCACATCATATCACAGGTACACACTATCAACATGGTTATCACTGCTGAAGTTGACCTGGATACCTGGCTGGGGTAGCTGGGCCTTTGCCGGCACGGACTGGCAGGGGTGAGGCTATAGCTTTTGTCTGTACAATTAGCTTGTCCAAACCAGAATCTAATTTGGGACCAAGCATTGCACCTGGTTGCAATGTCCTTTCTGTCTCTTTCAATCTAGAAGAGACCCTTTGTTCAACACGTGACTTTGCTGAAGACACTGAGACAGTTGTCCTGAGCAACTCTACCTTTTGGAGTTATCTGAGGCCTTCGTTGTATTCTTGGTCTTCTTGTGCCACTGTTCCTTGTATTTTGTAATTGAAAGTTAGAAGCAAAGCCTTGGAATATGCAAATTAAACATTTTGGCTAGAGGCTGCCCCTCTTAAAGCAGCCTTCTGATTGTTCATCACCACGGAAGCAGCTGGAGTTATCTTTTCTGTCAGTCCAGATGACTGACTGCTGTGAGCATGGAGGGAGTAGATCTAGGAGTGCTCAGTGTGAAGGGGCCTCGTTTGCCCCAGGTAACCTTCACAGGTCTCCCACAGAGCCTCAGAGCAGGTCTCTCGATCCTATGCAAACTGCCCAGTATCATTCTCAGGACTGTCATCTTTGTCATTAGACAAAGTAAATGCAATGACTTTGACTCTAGGAGCTGGAGCTGTGACCAATATTCCTCGGTATAAGCCATGCAGGTGTGGCAGCAAAGCTGAGGGAATCAACTTCAGCAAACTGAACTCTAACTTTCCACTGATTTTTCTTATCAAATTGGAGCCATGTTTCGACACAAGAGGAAAAGGAACTTCACAGCCAGTCCTGAAACATATTTGGTGTTTTAATACATCAGGACAGTATCACCACCAGTCAGAAGTGAAGTTGTACTCCTGAGGGCAGGCATGTCTCTTTTTTTTATTCTCTGCATCTAACCTACTGCCTCCTCCATTGCAAGGGCTCAACACTTAACAGAATGAGTGCTGAACGGCTGAACGAAGTATCGTATTTATTAATACTCAGAATGTGGTGTAATAGATCTTAGGAACTCTGTAGCCCTTTTCCAACTCTGACATCTTGTCTGCCTTTGCTCAATCATCACAGCCTGAGTGTGCATGCATGTACACAAACACACATGCCCTATGTGGGTTTCTCTTTTCTGAGGGACTCAGATCTCATAAAATTATCAATGGCAGATCACCTAAATTTCATATCAACCTGTGAGTTATCAGGACTGATAATCTGGTAGAAACCTTGTTTACAGGTTAAAGATACCTTACTTCAACAGGAATGTAATAAGCACTGACTCTGAGCCCAGCACTGTACAAGGAATGAAGAAATGTAAGAAAAGTACCTGATATGAGCCCAACTCTAGGGGGATTTGTAACTTGGCAGACAAGATAAGACAGATATGTTAAATTACAGAGAGCTTAATACACTGCTAAAATGTGTGGTACAGGCGATTGGGATTATGTGAGAGCAAGAGAAGGGATTAGAGTGCAGGGAGTAGCCAGGGAAAACTTCAGAGAGGAAGGAGCACTGACACTGAGGTGTGGCTGGGGTGTCCGATGACATGGCAGGGGTGTGGCCTTGTAGTTAAAAGCACGGGAAGGTTTGAGAACAGAGAAATGTGGGTTTAAATCCTGCCGCGGTTTTCCTCTTTCTTCCACATGACCTCACCTCTCTAAACTTCGGGTGTCTCATCCTTAAACTTGGGATAATCATAGTGTTATGGAAAGAATTAAGGGAGCTAGTGGCTGTGCAGTGCTAGGCACCTACAGTGATGATGACATCCTTGCCTAGAAAGGAAGACTGGGGAGACGGAGAGACAAGTTCAGTTGGGGATGCGTTTAGTGACAGCGAGGTCTCTAGACGGCTTCAGGATTCAAATCCAGTAGTCCTGGGCACAGACCTGAGAGACAAAGCCACAGACGGGCTGAGCTCTTTGTGGGAGGACAAGCAGGACACAGAAATCAAAGCCCCTGGAAACATGTATGTGCCTGACATTGGCTCACGGATCTGAGCCATTAGCTCCCTTGGTGTGACATTGAAAGAAATCATTCCTGCCCTCTGTAGCTTCATTCTGTTCCACTGTGACAATCTGCCTCCAACCCAAGTCCTCTCACAAGCCACAATGAGAAAGGAGTGAGAACGGAGCAGTGCAAATCCATCACCATTCACAGCTTATGCTCTAAAGACAGTTGAGCTTGGTACCCAAAGCATAGCACACAGCCATCATGACAGCGCTGTGCTGAAGTCAGAAATCACCAGAATAGGCAAAAGATTCACGAGACATGGTTCATTCATCCATCCAGCAGAGACAGACCAAGTATCTGCAAAATGGGTCTTGCCCTGTATTGTTAGTGACTGTGTAACAATAAAGATGAGTAATGCTCAATCCCTGCCCTCAGGAAGACGGACTCACAAACAAATCAGCACAAGTCTTATACGCTGGTCTAACAGAGAACTTCAAAGTGCTTTGACAGCAATGACTTGTGTTACGGTGGAATAATGCTCCTTGAGCCGTGCTTAGCAGGAGTTGACACCACTATTGACCCTTCTAGTGGCCATTCACAAATTCACCTGCCAGGCTTCTCCCTGCTCTCTCTCCCTGCCCACCCCTTCTTGGCACATCATCTTGTTACCATAAGTGTCGCCCACCCTCCTGACTGCACTTCTAGTTCAAAGATGCCCACGCAATGCTACTCTTTCGCCTCACTCCTGTTTCAGGTTCCTTCAGTGGCAACTTTTCAACCTTCAGCCTCCCCTCTGAGCTGTCCTTTATCACCTCCGCCTACAACCCACACATCAGCTCTGCCCACTGGCTGCCCTACTTGTCTGGCCCTGTTCAGACCTGCCACTCACGGGACAGCTCAGGCTGTCCTCTGGGCTTCTCTCCTCCCTTTCCCTGGCCACATCCAGAGTGTGTCTCCACCCTGGAGACTTTGTGCCTAAGCAGTATAAGAAGGAGCCTAAACTAAAATCTATAAACAATTAAATGTTTAAACTAAAAATTATACTCATTTATTTCTAAATGACAGTAATATGTGTGAAGAACCCTTAGAAAGGTCTGTATTTTTTTACTTAGTCATTTTACCTCTTAGAATCTATTCCAGGCAGGGGGAAATATTGATCTACAAAGACGTTTATCACAACACTATTTACAACAGGGGAAAAACTGGAAACCAATTAAGTGTCTAAAAATAACCACCACTAAAAATCTTTCTTCGGGAAAATATTTGATAACATGGGAAAATGCTTGTGACGGAAAATTAGGTGAAAATACTAGAATGCCAAACTCTGTTCATACTACTGGGAGGTGGACTCAGTATTGACTACAGGCTTAGCAGTGAAACCGGACTTAAATGACAGCTGTGCCCCCCACTAGCTGGGTGCCCTCTGTCGAGGTAGCAAACTTAACTCAGCCTCTGATTCTTCATTTTCAAACTGGGGACAATAATAACAGCTACCACATAAAGTTGTCGTGAAGATAATGTATGTGAAATATTTAGCACTATGCCTGGCTGGTAGACACTATTGTTAGTATTATTACACCGAATGGCCCATCGCTTCTGGACTAGAGGGGACAGGGATCCACAGGGTATTTGGTAGGGGGGTGGGCTGGGGGACATTCCTGTATTTAAAAGAGCACAGAATGGGGCAAATATGGCAGAGGATAAAGAAAAGAAGTTGGCTGGCAAATGGAATGTATGCCCCTCAGACATAAAGGCAACACTCTACCTTCTTTCAGGAATTTCCTCTACTAGGCAGAGAGTCTCACTTTCCTACGTTTTTGTGACATGGTTTCCTTTCCTTCCTTGGCTTGATCTGTGATGCTCTCCTTGAGGAGCTTCCAAGATATTAATAATATACCCAGGGAAAACAGGAAATCCAAGCCACAGAACTCTTTGCCCAAGAATCTGATGGTCTCCACCAATAACCCTAACCACAGACAGGAATAGAATTCAGCATTGTCAAAGGAGAGGCATTTCTGTCCCACCCTGCTGGCATGAGCAGGAAAACCCATGACGTGCTAGACTTTCTGTTGGCTCTAGCAGTGCTTGTCTGAGCAGCCAGCATGCTAACCTTTGTACGGAATCTCTCCCATCCTAACCTTTGTACAGAATCTCTCTCATCCTAACCTTTGTACGGAATCGCTCTTCCTCTCTCAGGAAGTGGGAAAGGAGGTTGGAAATGTCACCAACCCAGTGCCCCAGACAGCTCCTGCCTGGTCCTGCAGATGCCAAATAAATGATTCCCCTAGGTCCAGGGCTCTCGGTCCAGGAATCCACAGGGTTCCTGGACCCACAGCTCACACGTGGCTTTCCTGCCCTCTCTGCAGTGATGAGGTGCCTGGGGATCCCCACCCGTGTGATCACCAACTTTGACTCTGGCCATGACACAGACGGAAACCTGATTATAGATGAGTATTATGACAACACAGGCAGGATTTTGAAGAATAAGAAGAAGGATACCATCTGGTGAGAAACCACCTCTCAGTCCATTTCCAGGGCTGCAAATCAGGGCCAAGCCTGTAGTAGGAAGGGGGCAGGGCTATGTCCAGGAGGCTGCTGCTCTACTGTTCTCCGCTCCATCCCTCTTGCCCGTCTTCAGCTGGGAGACAGCTGAACAAAGCCACTTGGCAATTTAGAACTCTCACATTGGCCAGGCACGGTGGCTCAGGCCTGTAATCCTAGCTCTCTGGGAGGCCGAGGCGGGAGGATGGATCAACGTCAGGAGTTCGAAACCGGCCTGAGCAAGAGCGAGACCCCCGTCTCTACTAAAAATAGAAAGGCATTAATTGGCCAACTAAATATATATATATATAACCCTCACACCTTAAGAGCTCTCTGCCCTGGGTTGGGGTTTTCCTCTTTGTCCCCTCCCTGACCCAATACTCAGCCTGTAGTCCTGCCACGGGAGGGCCTATGTCTGGACACAAAGACCTTGAATGCCTGCTGCGAGTCAGCAACACACACAGAAAAGAACCAGGGCGACCATTTCGTGAGAGAGAGTGAAGGATTTTTAACTTTGGTGGGCTCCAGAAGCCTTCACTTACCGTTCACACACCGAGTCAGCCGAGGGAAGCTCTTTCCTGGGAGGCGAATGGAGGCCTCCAGGAGGAAGCGCTGTCACCACGGATGGTGAAATCCCAGGGGGTTTCAAGCCCTGCGGGTGCCGAGTCTGTCCCCCTGTTCACTCACTGTCCGTCCCCTGCCCCTCTCCGGAAAGAGCAGGCGGTACGACCTCTCCCTCAGCTCCCTCTGACACTGCCGTTCCTGGCTTCCCCCTCAGGAATTTCCACGTCTGGAACGAGTGCTGGATGGCCCGAAAGGACCTGCCTCCCGGGTACGGAGGCTGGCAGGTGCTGGACGCCACCCCTCAGGAGACGAGCAATGGTGAGGCTCTCCTCAAGGCAGGCCGCACCCCTCCGCAGAAAGGGCCCCTGCCCCCCGCCCGGCTGCAGCAGACGGCCCAAGGAGCCTCCCCGTTTCCTCTTCAGGCCTCTACTGCTGCGGCCCCGCCTCTGTGAGAGCCATCAAAGAAGGCGAAGTGGACCTGGACTACGACACGGGCTTCGCCTTCTCTATGGTGAACGCCGACTGCGTGTCCTGGCTCGTCGATGGAGGGAAGGAGCAGAAGCTTCACCGGGACACGAGCTCGGTGGGCCATTTCATCAGCACGAAGAGCATCCAGAGTGACGAGCGGGACGACATCACGGAGAACTACAAGTACAGGGAAGGTAGGACTGAGCCAGGCCCTGCTCGGGGGCCACGTCTGTGGCACCTTCCCCGACCCCAGGGAACCAGACGGCAGATGTGGGCAGGACCCAGGTCCCCTGTCTTGTCAGGTGTTCAGGGTTAAGGCCCCGGTTGGGGTGTCCTCACTGCCTCACGCCCGTCACCGCGCCACGGCCCGCAGGCCAGCGAGCTCCCTCCGCAAGACATTCATTCATGTTGACGGTGGAGCCTTTCACACGCTTCACCCCAACAGAATGTGGATTCTTCGCTCCTGCTTCCCCCCAAAACCAGCCGTTCACTGTAGATGGCAGGGGATTTAGTAAACTGTCTCCTATTAGTTAATTTAATTGATTGTATTTAACTCATTGTTTAATTAATTGTGTTTCACTGAGTGTGTGGAAGACAGGCCAGACCACAGCGGGCCCCCAGGCGATGTTCACTCCCACTGCTCCCCGGTGGGCAGGTTTCTGTCTCCTCCCACCCAGCCTGACAGGATCAGGGGTGGAGACCACAGATGCACTTAACCTATTCACATCTCTCTGGGCCCACTCTCAATGAAGCAAATGTCTCAGGATCTTCTTCTGCCTGGAACTGGGCTTAGAACAACCCCCAGAGCAAGGAGATAAAAGTGTCCTCTGTCTCAGGAGGTTGCCACAAATGCCCTGAGGGGAGGAGCCAGTCCCTGGGGACAAAGGTAGCCTCTGAAATTATTAGGGATGTGGGGCAGAGTATTTCTGCACGTCCTGCCCACAGGGATCCCTGAGCAGGGAGGCCTGGACCACTCTGGGAACTCTGCTTGCCTGAATAAATTTATTTATTTTTACTGTGTTTCTCAGTGCCTCCATTTCTAGGAATTAGTCTGTACCTGACCAATCATCTGGTTCTGGAAGAAGAAATCTTACCATCCCCTGCTGTCTTTAAGATGTTTGTTCCTCTGCGTTTGTGGGCCCTTGTCTTCCCCTTGAGGATGTCAGGGTAGAGGGGATGGCCATGAGCACAGGTTTTAGAGTCGCGCGCATTTGGTTTCCACCTAGACTCTGCTCCTTGCCAGTTGTGTGACCTGGGCAAGGGACATGTCCTCTCTGAGCCACCTTTTCCCCATCTGTATATGGAATAATAGTAACAACAGCACATCTCTCTCATGGTTGATATGAGGATGAAAGGTGTGAGGTGCTCAGCAGAGCCTGACTTTTAGGAGCACTTGATGAACAGGAGGGAGTGCTTGTTATTGGAAATGAAAGTTCCAAGCTGTCGATGGAGATGCTGAGGGTGGGGTGTTCAGGCTTCCCCTGGGTCAGCCTGGCTCACAGCTGAACTTGTGCTCTGCCCTCAGGTACCCCTCAGGAGAGGCAGGCCTTTCTGAAGGCTCTACAGAAGGTGGAGGCCAGAAGGTCCCAAGGCTCCCTGCGAGCAGGCTCGAGACCTTTCAGGCCCACACCGAGGAGCCAGGAGGACCCTCGGAGTTCCCTTCGACCCAGTGATGTTGTCCAGGTCTCTCTGAAATTCCAGCTGCTCGGCCGGCCCAACATGGGCCAGGACATAAGATTTGTCCTGTTGGCCCTCAACGTGTCGTCCCAGTCCAAGGACCTCAAAGTGAACCTGAGTGCCCAGTCTCTGCTGCACGATGGCAGCCCTCTGCCCCCATTCTGGCAGGACACGGCATTCATCACACTCTCTCCTCAAGAAGGTAAAGGTTCTGGGTGTGGACATGCCATGAACTGTGTACACAGAGTCGGTTAGGTCTGTGGTCCCCAACCCCCAGGCTGTGGACTGGTACCAGTCTGCACAGCAGGACGTGAGCACCAGTGAGTGAACGCAGCTTCGTCTGTATTTGCAGCCACTCCCCCGTTGCTCACATCACTACCTGAGCTCCGCCTCCTGTCAGATCAGCAGCAGCATTAGATTCTCATAGGAGCACGAACCCTACTGTAAACTGCACATGCAACAGATCTAGGTTGCAGGCTCCTTATGAGAATCTAATGCCTGATGATCTGAGGTGGAGCTGAGGTGGTGATGCTAGCACTGGGGAGCGGCTGCAGATACAGATTATCCTTAGCAGAGAGGTTCAACTGCACAATAAATGTAATGTGCTTGAATCATCCTAAAACCATCCCCCCCCACCCCCTATCTGTGGAAAAATTGTCTTCCATGAAACCTGTCCCTGGTGCCAAAAAGGTTGGGGACCACTAGGTTAGGTCAGTGCTGGTGGGGTCAAGCCAGCCACAGGGTTCTGGGGGAGACCCCAGACACAGTTCTTCCTACTGTCCCCTTCAGCACAGATTCCTCCCTCCCTCTCTCTGTCCCTCTCCCTTCCTCATCCGCTCCCTTCTCCTCCTCCTGCTGCTGCCCCTCCCCCCTTTACTACTCCAAGGAAAGTAGCCAGTTTAGTGGGAAAAGCCTGAATTTGGAGTCATTTAGACCTTGGCTGGAGTGTCAACTCACCCATTTACAGCAGAATGGCCTTGAGCAAGCCATTTTTTCTCTTTTAACCTCACTTTCTTCATCTGAAAAGCTAGTACCTACTTCACCAGGACTCTGTACATGCTGGCTTCCTCTTCTATATGAAGGAGTCACCAGATCCAACCCAGGACCAGCTGATGTCCTCAGCTACTCTCACCTTATCCTGTGTTCTCTCCCTAGCGAAGACCTACCCCTGCACCATCCCCTATTCCCAGTATAGCCAGTACCTGTCCACGGACAAGCTGATCCGCATCAGTGCTCTGGGTGAAGAGATGAGCTGCCCTGAGAAAATCCTGGCAAACAAGATCATCACCTTATCTTATCCAAGCATCACCATAAATGTAGGCAAAAGTCCTGCAAAAGGCCTGTGGGGCTCCTTGGATCTGGCTGGGAGGGAGTAGAGCCCTCTGAGAGGGCAGACTGGGCCTGTTCAAGAGCATCCCTCCCTTTCCTTTGGTGCCCCAGGAGGGGGAGGTTTATCTGAGAGGTCTTTATCCTCTTGTACCACTAGAGGCTTTATGGATGGTTCCTTGAGCAGGTGCCAAGAGAAACCCTCCTGCTGGGGGCCTTCCCCAGGGTAGACATAAGGAACAGGAGCCCAGATGGGAGAGTCTGGGATGGGGGAATAGCCCTGCTTGCAGGTCAGCTCAGGCTTGATTTGTCTTTTTCTGGTTGTGCATCCAGGGACAAGCCCCTGGACAAGCCTTTGCTTCTTGAACCGTCAAAACAGAGGTTTAGACTAGATGGCTTTTGAAGACCCCTCCTGCTCTGACATTCTGTTGTCTTTTGAGTGGGAAGACAAAGGGCTCCCTTCCTTCCAGTGCTGTCTCCCCAAGGCCTACAAGCCTCTTAGGCCCTGCCAGCTGAGCCCAAGGAGACCCCTGGTGGGGAAACTCCAAGATTTGGTTAGAACTTGAGCTTATATAGCATCTTAGCAAAGGAGCAACAAATTTTTAGAGAAGTAACAATAGAAAGGAAAAGGACCTTGCATCTCTAAGGGAAGCAAATTGTGGGAATTTGTGGCAGCAAATACATGGGAAACTCATGGTAGATAAAGGCTAATTAGTAAAGTTTGCTGTGTAGATTCCTCTGGAGCCATCTCCAGGTCGACAAAGGTCTAAAGTTGTCTCCGTGGCTAAATTCTGTCCTTCCTGGTAGAAAGGGGAGGGGAAACACCTTTGTAAATTTATGTCCTGCTTTTAGGCAAATAGGGGTAGACCAGAGAGCTTTTATTATATATCTGCTTTGTCTCAGTTGTCTTCAGCTCAAAATGATCCTTATGCCAAAGTGGCATATTTTGGGGTGGCCTATCCTTCCATGCTACAGGACAGTGCCCTCCGTAAATGTTTGGTAAGTTGGGGAATGAGGACTAATTCTCTACTCCTCCCCTGGCTCCGGGTCTCTGTCTAGGTTCTAGGACCTGCCATTGTGAACGAGCCACTCTCCATAGAGGTGATATTCTCAAACCCCCTCTCAGAGCAGGTTGCAGACTGTGTGCTGACCGTGGAAGGAAGTGGCCTCTTCAAGAAACAGCAGAGAGTCCTGTAAGTGCGGGGAGTGCCCAGCCTTCTCACCCACGTCACCCTGGGATTAGCGCTCTCCGCCTTTTTGGACATGGGCTCCTAGGCCAGGTCCCATACCAGGGAAGGGAAAGTGGAAGCACTCCCTTCCACTCAGGAAACTGAGTGGAGAAGGACTTTGGGGTTATCATAATGCCTACAGTTATTGGACATTCTCCATTCTCTGTTGCAGCATTGGAGTCCTCAAACCTCAACACAGAGCCAGAGTCACTCTGAAGACTGTCCCCTTCAAGAGTGGCCCAAGGCAGATCCAAGCTAATTTGAGAAGTGACAAGTTCAAGGACATCAAGGGTTACAGGAACGTCTATGTAGACTTTGGATTATAAATTCTGGGACAGTGGATTTTAAGCTTCAGGAAAAGGAGCAAGTTCAAATGCAAGCTATGCCATTCTCCACCACAACGGAGGCTTCCCAGGGCTCTGGCATGAGCACCGGGGCGGATGCCCACAGTGGATAGTTTCCCGGGGAATTTGCACAGCTCCCCAGGACTCTGTTCAGGTCCCAGGGATTCCATGGTGTCCATCCAGAAGTATGATTTGGCACGGAGGTCAGAGGATACTGGTTGGACCTGGCCATGACTTACTACCCCCAGATATCAAGGAAAGAAGACTAGCTGAGTAGCCCCCTGTCGTTTTGTTGTTGCAATAGCTTATTCTCTAGTACCAATAAACTTCAGTCCTTGCTCTCATCTCCTTTGACCTGTGTGATCATCACTTTCCCTACAGCAGCTCCCACTTGGTCCCTGGATGCTGAGTGTACTATTGTTTCAATGCCTGAACCTATTCAAGAAACATTTATTGAGTGCCTAATATATGCCAGGTACTGTTCCAAGTATAGGAGGACAAGGCAGGAAATAAAGCACGGTTCCTGCCCTCATGGCACTTACATTCCAGTGGGGCCAAGGGAGACAGACAATAGGCATGTCAACAAATGAGTAAGGTACTTACAAGTCATGATCCAGTTAGGCAAACAAAAACCTCTTAGGTATTTCTACATACTACATATCATCTGTGTGTTTTGGCAAAAAACCTGGGAGATATTTCACTCTTGGAGTTCCTTTGAATCCTTTCCTATGTCACATCTAAGAGGTCCCTCAGTCCTAATGGGACCAGCCTCTTCACTCAAAGCCCACCAGTTCTTTGTGGGCCTGGATGGCCTTGGATTGGCTGCGGTTCAGGAGACAAAGCCAGTGGAATAATGCAAGGAAGTAGATTTTTGGTGGGGATTTTGTAGATTTTGCTGGGTCCCACTAAACACAAAGCAGCTCCAATCATTATCTCCTCTTGGATACACCTGCTTTCTGAGAGCAGGCATGGGCTATGTGACCGAGACAGCTGTCCTATTAAATGCACACACAATAAATAAGGACACTAAAGAATTCCATTATATTTAAACAAAAGAGTAAGTGTAGTTAATCAGAGGGAAAGGAGGGGGTGTGGTAGGAATTGCATAGTGGATAAATAGTCCTGTTAGAGAGTGACCAGGAGCTGGTGGCAGGAAGCTGGAAGTAACCTACAATTATTTCATCCTATAATTATTGTCTGACAATCATCAGACATAGTTTAAGGAAAATGTTATGGAGAGAAACATCTTACAGAGACAATGACCTCTGAAGCACTTGGAAGATTTCAGTCTCTGCACCCTTGAATGCTTTCATGAGTCCTGATTTTAACACCATAATCATTAAGTTTTTCACTCAACACATATTGACTGAATTTCTACTAGTAGCCAGGCCCTGAGTAGGTGGGCACTGAGGACACATGAAGGACCAGGGCCTGCACTCAAGGAACCCATATCTAAGTACGTGAAGAATGAAAAATAGACATGAGGTTATAACAGAGAGTGGTGAGATCCACCAGTGGGGTAAACCAGCGTGTTGTGGGAGACCTCACTCCTGGGAAACTCTGCAATCGATTTCTAGTGCATGGACAGCAGGTGTACAGGAGGTTGTCATGTGCATCTTTACCCTCTTCCTTGGCTCTGTTTGGGCTCCATCTCTATTCTTTCATCTTTTGCATCATTTTATTAATAATATGCTCATCTTCAATATCACGTTTCAGTGTTTGTCTTTTTAAATTCTTTCCGGAATGAGACAGTATATTAATTGATCTATTCATTAATTCATTCATTAAAATAAATTTTTACTCCCTGAACCTGTTCTCTCATTCATAAAATTTGAATAATGATCCCTTACCTAGTGTACAAGATTGAGGTTCAGATCATATGAGATAACGTGTCAAGCAATGTGCCAGCATAACTAATTCATTTGCATCTGGGAGTCGTGTTGAATATCTTTTCTTCTTTGCCCTCCATATCCTGTCCATTAGCATGTCTTGTCCATCTAGTCTCCCATATTTCTGTCAAATTTGTCCACGTCTATGTTTACATACACCCCTTCGACAGGGTCACCATCATCTTTCACCTGAGCCATTATGGTAGTTGCTTATTGGTCATCTCTCGTCTCCTTCTTCCCACTCTAAATCATTTTTCCTATTTTAGACAGTGTGGTATTTTTAAAATGCAAATGTGATTGTGTTAGTCTCTTGCTTAAAATATCATTCAGTGGCTTCCCACTGCTCTGAGGATAACATCCAAAATCCTTAATTCAACTCTGCAAGGTTTAGCCCTTGCCTCACCTCTCCCCCTCTCTGTGATGCAAGCCCACTCACCCCTTACCCCATGGCCTTGCTAACTCCTGTTTATCCTCCCGGTTTCTCAGCCAAAATATCACTTTCTCAGAGAAGCCTACCCTGACCGCCACACCTAGGCCCGAGAGCTCAGACTTTCCCTTTTATAGCACATACCACAGTGGCAGGCAAAATACTAATGGTGCAAGCACTGCCTTCTCCGGCTGGAATATAAGCTCCTTGGTGGAAGGGACACTTCTACCTGATTTACTACAGTGTTACTAGTACCTAATACAATTCCCAGTGCACAATAGTACTCAATAAATAATTGTTCACAAATGAATAAATGAATCCTTCTTGGGCACACACCAGCTGAAGGGGTGTTTTTCTGCCAGAGGCTGGGGAGTTGAAAGGTGTGGGTGCCGTAGGAAGCAGAAGGACAGACCTTTCTGGTCACCCTTCCTTCCATCCTCCTCACATCTCCCACACTAACCTTTCCCTGGCTCAACCAAAACACAGCAGTGTCTGTCTTATCATGGGCTCCCCTGAAAGTGCCCCAACTGAAATACTCCAGAGACTGGACATCTTTGATGCTCTCATGGGAATTGTACCAGGAAACAGAAGATTCTCGTTGCTGGTATCAGAAGTAGAACAAACTCCCAAAAGGGAAACCAGCCCATGAAGTCCCTATTGTCCTCCCAGGTAGGGGGCTCTCTGTGGTGAAAACAATTCTTTTAGCCAGGCTTTTCTTTCTCTTGAAGGTTTTTGTTATTTTTTGAATACCATCACATAAACATGTGTTCATGGCACAAAGATACAAAAGGGCATACAGAAAAAGCATTACCCCTAGGCACTGAATTTCCTTATCTAGAAGCAGTAACTTTCAGAAATATTCTATGTAAACACAAACACAAGCAAGTTCATACACATTGTCCCCCTATACATCCTTTACACAAAGGTAGCATACTGTTCACACTATTTTTCTCTCCCTTGTTTATTCCATTTGACAATATAGCTTGGAGATTGTTCCGTATCAGTTTATACAGAGCTACTTCATTCTTTTTTACACTTTCTGTATAGTATTTTATTGAATGTATGCCTTATAATTTATCTATCTAATACCTTATTTATGTGTGTTTAGGTAGTTTCCAATCTTTTGGTATTATAAATATCAATGCATTAAATATACGTGTATAAATTTCATTTTACATATGTTTAGTTATTTGCATGATAAATATGTAGAAGTAGAATAACTGAATCAAAAGTATAGACATTTAACATTTTGTTATTACTACCTAATTTCTCTCTGTTATGGATTGAATTGTTTCCTTCCCCAAAATTCGTATGTTGAAGCCCTAACCTCCAATGTGACTATACAGGGAGATAGTGCATATATAGGAGTGATAAAGGTTAAGTGAGGTCGTAAGTGTGGGCCTTTGTCCATTAGGAATGATGTCATCGTAAGAAGAGGAAAAGACACAGAGATCTCTCTCTGAGTACACACAGAGGCAGCCATCTGCAAGCCAGGAAGAGAGCCCTCACAAGACACCAAGCTTGACGGCACCAATCTCGGGCTTCAAGACTCCCAAGCTGTGAGAAAAATAAATGGCTGTTGTTTAAGCCATCCAGTCTGCAGTGTCTTGTTATAGCAGCCCAAGCTAACTAATATATCCTCCGTAAAGGCTGCACCAATTTACACTCCCACCAGCATTATATGAGAGTATTTCCCCAAACCATCACTGACTCAGAATGTTGTCAAACTCTTTTATCTTGCCAATCTGATAAGTCAAAAAAAAAAAAAAATGACATATCAGGGTAGTTTTATTTTTCATTTTTATTAAGCGAGGCTGGATATCTTTTCATACCTTTGAAGGACATTTGCATTTCATTTTCTGTGAATTGTCCATCATATCCTTTAGACATTTTTCTATTGGTTTGTTATTCTTTTCTTATTGATTTTAGGCATCTTTTATATTAAAGAAATTAACCTTTTGTGATACGAGTTTCAAACACTTTCCCCAACTTGTTGCATACCTTTTAACTTTGTGGGGTTTTCCATTTTAAAAAATTTAAGGAGTCAAATTTCTCAATATTTTCTCCGTGGCTTCTGGGTTTTGCATAACATTTTAAAAGGCTTCCCCAAGCTGACTTAAAAATAAGTGTCTCATCTTTTCTTCTAGTACTTTAAGGATTTAATTTTTTATATTTAATATAATTGATCAACACTTATGTGCACATGAGGAAGTACATTTTTTACACTTAAGATTATTGATTCTATTCCAGCTGCCATGTAGATAGGAAGAAGAAAAAAATGAAAAAAAAAAAAAAAAAAAAAGATTATTGATTCTTCTGGAACTTATTTTGGTATGTGGTATAAGGTAGGAAGCCAACTGTATTTTGGCAAGCTAGGTGTCCCAAAAACATTTACTGATGAATCCTTATTTTTCCCACTGATTTGGAGTGCCACATTTAGCATATATTTAATGCATATGTTTTGGTCTATGGACTTTTTCAATTATAGTAATGTCCATTTTAATATCTAGGAAGGCTGGTTATAACTTCTTACTGTCTTAGAAATTTCCTTTTGAACCTTAGACTCAGTTTATTTAGTTTCAAATGAAGATCTCCTTGGTGTTTTTATTGGACAGGAACTGAATTTAAGATCATCTTAGGAAGAACTGACATCTTTATGTGTTGAGTCATACTATCT